TATATTATATAAATAATATATAATAAAAGGACATAGATCTAGGGGAGGAGGTCCAGGAAACAAACAATCTCACCTTTTTTTCAGAATTTAATAACTTTATTAGCTAATTTTGTGTAAGTAGATGCATATCCAGGAGGAAGAGGGGGGGGGGGTTGAACCCTCTCCATTTTTTCAGTTATTATCCCTTTGACTGCAGATGCTTTAAATGCTTGAGGAATTTTTGTGAGCTGTACACTGTATACAGCACACATGCATTCAACTGCCAGAGGCAGACCGTACCATATTCAGCAGTCAATGGGTTAACATAGACATCCTTATGCTACCATACAGTATAAATAAAAAGAAACACAGGATGTCAGTATTTTCATTTGATTGGACTATTAATAACCATAACAGCTTATTTGAGGTTTTCTGAAATCAACATAGCTGGAGTCTACAGTGACCAGTTAAGATCTCAGCCAGTAACTGAATGTTTCTAAGCAAAAATTAATGTTATTAAATCTTGCCATGGTAAATTTTTATGTCTTTGCATTTTCCAGACATTATAACAATGTACCTAGACTTCAGAGATTTGTTTTTATCAGTTGGTATTAAATATTTGCATTCAAAATGTTTGACATCTGGCTAATATTTATGCTCTAAACTATGAAAATTCCTGTCATAAACATGCTTATAAACAAACAAAACAATACTGTAGTGTAACATTCTTTTCGCATTGTAAATTAAATAGTCTCACTAGTACAAAAGATAGAATATCAGAAATTGATAAATGTGGGATTTATAAAATTCCTTGTACCTGTGGTCGAGCTTATATTGGCCAAACGTGTAGAAATTAAAAATGCAGGATTAAAGAACATAAAAATGCAGTAACAAAATACAAAGTAAATGAATCGGTTTTAGCAGAACATGTGGTGGAAATATCTCATGTTATAGACTGGATGAACACTATGTTGATAAAACAAGTAGAATTTAAAATATAATTAAATATCAGAGAAACTACTGAAATTGAAAAAAACAACAACAAAGATATTGAATTAAACAAGGAAGCTGGACCAGGTCTATAAATAATAAAGTACTGGACAGATGTTTTGTAACTTTGGGT